AGCATTCACTTTCACCGTCCCAAATTTGTGGTCCAGTGAATATCATATAATTGTTAACCTGCCTACTTCTAACTATCACCCTCCCAAAAACAACTGATATTTTTGGTGAGGAACTTTACTTTACTGGTAAAACTACATGTCTTAGTAGATGTGGATGACTCTATCCTGCCTAGCGATTCTCCTTTTCCACTTTGCCAAATCGTTTCGCAATTCCTACCTCTTTTTCGTCCTCGGAATTCCAGTTGTGAGGAAAAAACAAACAGTGAGTCCATCAATTGTTTAACTCCTAATCTGCCTTAGAAGCAGTCTAAGATTTAAGTGATGTTTGTATGGGGTTGCCCATTTGCTCACTTGATTTTTAGGCTAAGAGTTTTGTCACCCTTTGCAATATGCTCGACTACTTGGCACTTATACTGATTACATTAATGACCTAGTCTCTTTTACAAAGAAATTAAAAAGCAGATATATTTGGTTAAAAATAGACTTGCGCTTCTTCCTTTTTTTGTGCTGATTCAAGTGACAGTCCAATGGAAGTCACTTCCATTCGTTTGCGCATCCATAGCCTCCAAGTCAGATAGATTCTCTGCTCATAGGAACTCAATGAGTAGGTTTTTTCAACGCCTTTGACTGTTTGTTTGCAATCTATGCATACATAAGTGGATTGTACTTTAGAATTGAAAAACCCATTTAAGTTGATGAATAACAGATTAGTTGCACCTCTTTTCGATTTTCTGCAACATCTTTAGCAGTACTATGCCATAAAGCTTTTTAATTTTAGGGAAATGAAAACAGATTTATCCATAAGGTTATGTCTCCCGAAAACAATGTTCCTCCCCAGTTTTCTGGTTGAACTGCAATTTCACCATAGTTTAATACATTTATCATAAACGAAATCGCACTGTCCTATGTGCATTTTCTTGGGATTTAAGCTTAAATTGAAAGTGATGGCAGAACATTATTAAAGAATCTTTCGCATAAATAGACTCTTGTGCTACACTTAAGCACGATCTGAGACGTCATTATTGTAGCTTCCCGAGGCTAAC